ACCTCAGTAATGTCTTCCCTTGGGTCCAGGTTATTCATTGCTGTGGGAGAAGTGTTCACTGGCTTACCTCAYACCACACAGAGGCTTCCCACTACCTCCATCTCAAAAGAAACTCTCCAATAGTCAAACTTGGTTATAAACCATTATGTGGGAGGACTACCCCAAGCTCCACRTTTTGTTCCTCACATCAGTGTTTGGCAGTTGTTATTAGGAAAAATCTTCAGCTAAAGATTGCAAAGGCAGTCCCAAAATTTACAGCATGAGTCATAAGTCACACAAAAACTTGTAACATGATTATTCAGAACTGGAGGAATCATGTTTGGTTCTTTGACCATAATCCTGCACATTTTTTTCCCTCATAAACTRATTAATTTCAGTTGGTATCCAGGCAGGTACAATGTTTAAGGACTAACAACATATGAGAAGACAGAGGTGTAAAATAAATAGGTAAAATAGTGTTAACTCTGTGGAATAATTCAATTACCTTTTACAGAAATCTACAGTCTAAAGTACAATATACACAAGATTTCTGATGGTAAAGGTTCAGGATAACATTAGAAATGCTACTATTGGCCTTCCTTTGCAAAAGTGCAAAGTCAGCCTCTTTCCAGACACAAAAASAGGCAACATTAATACTTACCTCACACAGGAAGGCCAAGAAGTAAAAACATTGAGATCCCTGTACAAAGCACAAGACAGCATTATTAAGGCCAAATAGTAGTTTTTTGAGTGCTCTTTGTCTGCAATAAATGAAAGGGAAGTGGAGGGAGAATATCTCATGCTTTGGTAGATCAATCTTCACAGTGATTTGTGCCTAGGAAAAGCTAATGGCGTGTTGTCGATGCAGGGATTGTGCAAACATAATTATGGTTTACACCATGATACTGATTCAGTGTGCACAGCTGGTGAATTCAAACCTACATCTTTAACACAAAGATTGGTTTGTTTGCACTATTCCCAAGCCAGAGCATCTATCTTTACTGAGTGAACACCTGTGTCACCTCAGTGACATCTCTTCGATACCTCAACACTTCCTCTGCCTCATTTCTTTCCCTGTCTCCCTCCACTTCCGCATTAGAGCCTGATTTCCCATTATTTTGGAAATATACTCCAAGGTTACTAATCTAAATTTCCATTTTCCTCGCAGCATATAGAAATCATCATTTCCTTGGTGATTATGTGATTATTGACTCAGTTTAGGCCCCTTTTGTGTAATGCAATGATATCATTTCTAACTGCTTTGAACTCAAAGCACTGCTGGAATATCCTGACAGAAAGATTAACTATCCATCAGCTTCTAAAACAGTCCAATAAGYGTCTTATCTAGCTCTCCTTAAGTACTAGAGAGGCTTAGGCTTCACACATGCAAGGCTCTCTACACCACTCTCCTTAAAACTTGTCTCAATTGGTTTCCAAAAATCTTTTCACTATTAGTCAGTTCATGCACTGAGACTTTGTTCTGCAGCTGATGCAGCTTCTATTTTTTCCCCCCTCCTTAGTTTCTCCCCCCCCYTTTTTTTTTTTAATTTAAATTGGATAGTTGCAAAATGGCCTTACTTACAGTGTATCATGTAAGGTGACCCAGGTCTATAGGCACTACTTTTTTTATATATATATATATATAATTTATGATTCATAATACACACTAAGACATTACTTTTATGCTGCAAAGAGGATGTCCTCTAATCAATCATATACTGAGAAAAATTGCAAACATATATCAACTCTTTCACTCACCTTTCTCTTCATCAAGATTTTCAAATATTTGGAGATGCAGAGCCTCAAGAGCTAATACTCACTTTATGCTCAGTCCCTTTTCTTCGTTCTTCCCCATTGAACATTCTGGAGAGCTAATTTCAACAGCCAGGTGAACACTGGAGATCAAGCTAGACCATGAAAAGAATAGAAATAAAAGCAAAAGAATGAGGTCTCTTCTAGCATCCATCTGTTCTTTAAACAGATAGTTCATCAATTTAAGTCAGGAAGGGCTATAATTTCTGTCAGCTGTGCTCAACCTTTTACCTTTTCTTTGCATAGAGTCTTCTCCACCTGCACAGTTGAGCACACCACTTGAAAGCAGACACTGTAGCTGTCAAGGTAGCGTCTCCTKTGGGTGCTTGATTCTCCAAGGCTGCCAGTTCATCATTTTTCATAAGCACTAACTGAACAAAAAAGTACTTTACCCTCAAGTTAATTATATTCACCCAAGGAAAACATTTCCATGTCAGGGGCCAAAAGCTGGCAGAAATTTCTCCCCCACCTACTTCCCCCCAATTACAGGTAAACCTTTCTCTGAATACATAGTTTTTCAGAGATTTTAGTGACTTCTTCACAGATTAGTGTTTTTGGCTTGAGGTTTATTGGAGCCAGTTCTAAATACCACTTATCCAAGTAAAATCAGGTTTATCAGATCAGAATCCAAGCAAGAATTCTGTAACTTGCACTGAGCTACTTTGGCAGATATATGTGACTTTTATTCTCAATTTTGTTGCCTTCACAAAGTCCAAGCTCCCATTATTGCTACCCTTATTACTATAAGATTTTTGTAGGCCATTGACATATCAAAGACACAGGGCAATTTCCAAAGAGCAAAATATTTGGCTTCTATGCATTCTAATCCAACTTCCAAACCACAGATGTATCCTGCAAGATTTTCAGAGTGAAAAAAAAAGTTTTGATTCCAAATTTAGGGATAATCCTAACAGAAGTTAGGATACACTTCAGAGAAAAAGTAGAAGAGATATGACTTTTTTTTTTTTTTTGCCATCAATTGCTACACAATTTTATGTTTTCCTTCTCTCTTTTTCCTTTTATGAGGCTTAATATCTACTGGAACAAAGCTACTCATCTGGGTATTTCCAAATCCAGTATAGTATCCCATGCCCTGAACAAGCATCCCTCCAAACATATATGTCATTAAAGACAGCAAGCAGATGTTACACATGAGATAGCTAAATATTTATTTAATAGGATGCAAGTTAAAAGGGGGAAAAAGAGAAAGTGACTAAACATATCAGGACAGAATTGGTACAAAATATGTGCCATTTATCACTAAGGATAYTGCTGAACCCCTCAAACATATAGGGAATATGGGTCTATATCAAGAGAAAGTAATTCTAGTTATTTGGGATCTTATCACACTGGGTTAATACTACCATCAAAATATGTTACTAGAAGCAGTATTATTCAATATCATTTAGCCACATAAAACAATTCATGCAYCAGAAAAGCACTTTGTTTTCAGCCTCGTTAGGAAAACACTTCAYTAGTAACATTCAAGATATTTTTCTTGCCACTGAAGTGGCTGTAAAACCTCTTCTCAAATACACTTCAGTCTCTAAAAAATCTTTCATGTTACAAAAAAAAAAAAAAAATTAGAAAAGCCTAGGGAAAGGGAAAAATAAGAGAATGCATCTGAGCATTGCACTCTATACAGATATATTACAAACTTCTCAAACTTCTTTTTGGCCAGAAAAGCCCCTTAATAATAAATAAATAAATAAATAAATAAGGGTGGGAATGCAGTGGTTTTCATGCTTTTGTGAGAAGCAAAACCACAAATCAGGAGCCGCTTTCAACCTCTTTTTACTTCAGCCCAGAGGACACAGAAGGATAAACAAAATCTTGTTTTGCTCAGGATAATTCAGGATATTATTCCTCGCGATAGAAAGCGGCCAGACCTCATCACAGCTCTTCACCTGCGACCAACAGAGCGGCTGCGACAGGAATTACGGACAGGAATTACCCTCTGSTGTCTCCTCCCTGCTCTGGATGGGGATTCCCACCTGGCAAACTCAGGATTCCCTCCTGGAGAGGGTCTCCTGCCGCCTTCTCCCTCTTTATGGAGGGAGAAACCCCACCTCCCAGGGAGGAGCCTGCAAAACAGCCAGAGCAGCAAAAACAAGCACATTTGCAAGCCTAACACTCCGGGAAAACGAGAAACGCAGGTCTGAATATTTAGGAGAAAAGCTGCAAATCTGCGGAGAAGGATGTTAGAATAGAGGGGSAATGGGGGAAGGTTTTCCTGGGGAAAACCTGCTGTCAAATCCTAGGAATTGCCAGGCTGCCCACGCTGGTGCTTTGTCACGAGGGCAGGTGCTGGCGGGCGCGAGGAAACAGGGCTGTGAGCGCGCACAACCGGATTGCTTGGGATGAGCGGGCTGTGAGCGCGCACAACCGGACTGCTTGTGATGAGCGGGCTGTGAGTGCGCACAACCGGACTGCTTGTGATGAGCGGGCTGTGAGTGTGCACCACCGGATTGCTTGTGAGCAGGCTGTTACTGTTGATTAAATGTAGAGATTCTCCATTTCAAAAGGGACGCAGTTTTAATGAATGAAATCGAGTTTTGGAGGTGCTCATGGCTCCTCAAAAAAAAAAAAAAAAAAAAAAAAAAAAAAGGTAATTTGAGTAATTTGAGTAATTTGAGCAATTGCAGTAACTGCCTCCTTATTCTATACAGAGGAAGTTGTGTTTTCTGGGGCACTACCATTTCCAGTCCTCCACACGGAAACACTACACCTTTTAAGCCCTGTTTTCCACATAAACACACCAGCTGAGGCTTTTTATTTGTCTGTTTGCTTTGGATTCACAGCAGCTTCATTCACAAGCCCCGCTGGATTCCCTCGTGCTGCTTTACGACTCGTTTTGACACGACCATGAAGCAGAGCCCTAAGTGCCGCCGCTCACCCTCCAGCAAGCCCAAATCCACGGGAAAAAAAAGGTGAAACTCCAGTCACTTTCGCCCATTTTTAAACAACTTAAGCCAAAGGCCTCCCTCAACTCTATGGTCCTCCCGCCACCCCAACCTCTCGTCTCTATGGTCGCGGCCCCTSCACCGCGCGCGCGTGGGCGAGGCGGCGCGCACGCGCAATCCCGCGCGCCCTCTCTATGGTAGCGCTTCCTCGCGGGCGCTGATTGGGCGGGCGCGGAGTTCTCGCGAGAGCCGCGCGCCAGCGGCCTGGCCGAGGCGGCGGACGGGAGCCGGGTCGGTGCGCGAGGCCCGCGGCGCGGCGCGCTCGGTAAGATGG